TTTGGTAGATTTTTACGTGACTAACATAAGGCTACTGTGGAAGTGCCCATTTCGGTTACGACGACATTCGTTTATAACGACACTATTTTTAGGTCCCTTTGACGACGTTATAACCAAGTTCTACTGTATATATATATATACACATACACACACACACATTTTAATACAGTATTAAAATGTGAAAAATAATTAATTAATTTGAAATATCACAACTAAGAAGTGCAGCTCAAAATACAAATATCTGTTATTTATACAAAGGATAGTCAGTAAACAGGTCACAATGGATATAAAATGTAAAACGTGATATTCAAACCTGGAAAACACATTTATTTCTCAACATATCCTCCACCAACAGTGATACACTTGTCCCATCACTTTACCAGTGTGTCGAAACCTGCGGTATAGAAGTCTTTCAACTGTTCTCAGCCACTTCCGCACCTCTGTTTCAGTCTCTTCGTCTTCAGGAAAACTTTTGCCACTAAGGTGGTTTTCTAGTGAACCAAACAGATGAACTTCACGAGGTGAAAGTCCGGGCTGTAAGGCGGATGTTCAAGAAGTTCCCACTATAGTCCTTGAATTCTATCCTGGGTTGCTGAGACTGTAGGGGGTCTGGCATGTTAATTGGATTTATTGAACTTTTACAGAACATAACTATGACAGTCTCACTGTGTTACACGCTCCAAAGATCAATGTAACCACAGCACACAGTCTTCTCAGTTTCCTGTGTCTTTCGTCAGTCATTGCCTGATCATGGATTCCAACAATGTGCTATGCTTCACTGCTCACGTTCTTACTAGCTGGTGGCTATCTCACAATTAACTCATTGGCTTGTAATTCTTGTACCATTTACAGCACACAATACACCAAATTTGTAGTTGTGTGGTATGTGGTAAAGAATTTTTATATGTAATATTACTTACCACACTTGCCCAGCATTCATACTTATTCTCTTTCCCACAGAGGGTTGTGGTAATGTTTCTTGCTTTGCTTTCCTTTTGCCAGAGCATTCTACATCATCAGCTGATAGATGGAGCAGAGCAGCCATATCTCAGCAGTAAGAGTGATCTTATTGTACACAAATGCATACCCATTGGGAAGCAGCCATATTCGTGTGATGTGTGTAATAAAACATTCAGCTTCAAGAATGTTCTGACCATACACAAACGAATCCATAGTGGGGAGAGACCATATTCGTGTGATATGTGTACTAAATCATTCATTGCTACGAGTACTCTGAATAGACATCAACTGACACATAACGGGAAGCGCCCATATTCTTGTGATGTATGTAGTAAATCATTCAGGAGGAAAGATTCTTTGCATATGCATGCACGTGTACACACTGGGGAGCGGCCATATTCCTGTGATATGTGTAACAAGACATTCAGTATTAGGGGAGTCTTGAAGAGACATTTACGCATACACAGTGGGGAACGCCCTTATTGTTGTGATGTGTGTAATAAAGCATTCAGCAGGCCGAGCATTCTCAGGGCACATCAACGCATTCATAGTGGGGAGCGGCCGTATTCATGCCATGTCTGTAAGAAGTCATTTAGAATGCAAAGTAACATGAAAGAACATCAACGTATACATAATGGAGAACGTCCTTACTCTTGCGATGTATGTAATATGTCATTTGGCTTTCTTAGTAATTTGAAGAGACATCAGTGCACACATATTGAAGAGGGACCATATTCCTGTGATGTGTGTAAGAAGTCGTTCAGACTGGAGAGTAATTTGAAGGAGCATAAGTGCATACATAGTGTGAAGCGTCAGTATTCCTGTGATAGATGTAATGCGTCATTCTGTTATGTGAGTAATTTAAAGAAACATCAGCGTATACACAATGAATATCCTTATTCTTGTGGTGTATGTAATAAATCATTTGGTTATCAGAGTAGTTTTAAGGCACATCAACGAATACATAGTGGGGAACGACCATATTCCTGTGGTGTATGTAATGCATCATTCAGAGTTGTAAGTATCCTGAAGGCTCATGAACGGATACATGATGGAGAGCGTCCATATTTGTGTGGTGTATGCAAGAAGTCATTCAGTTACCAGAGCAATTTGAAGTCCCACCAAAGCATACATGTCGGGGAACGTCCCTATTCCTGTGACATATGTAATAAATCATTTGCCAGGCAAGACAATCTCAAGACACATCAAGGTACTCATACTGGAGAGCGTCCATATTTTTGTAATGTGTGTAATAAATCATTCAACAGACCGAGTAGTCTAAAGGCACACCAGCGTGTTCATAGTGAGGAGCGTTCTTATGGTTGTGATGTGTGCAATAAATCCTTTACTACACAGCGTAACTTGACGAGACATAAAGATATACATGGTGTGAAGGGTCCTTATTCCTGCGATGATTGTAGTAAGTCATTCAGTTACCAGAGTAGTCTGAAGGTTCATCGGCGCATTCATACTGGGTAGTCATGTGGAACTGTTTAACATTCAGTGCATATTGAAGAAATAAGAGCATATATAGTGGAGAGCTCCCAGTTTTGTAAAATTTGTCAATGCACAATGTAAATTGAAGTGACTTCAACACATGTTATGTTTAAGAGATTCATAATGTTTTGTGTAATAAATTATTTTGAATGTGTAGTATTAAAACACACGAATATGTTCACATTAAAAATGTGTATATTCTTGAACTGTAAAGGTAAAAAAGTTGTCCCTGTGCATAATTAAACACTATTCCACCCTCTCAATGCCATGAAGGCACATGGGGGAGGAATTGTATAGATCCGGATTTTTCTTGACCTCAGCACTAGTTGGAAGTAAGTGTTCAGCTTCATGCCCCAGCTGCTCTACCCATTGCATAGGAGGCGGGTGAACCCTGAAGCTGATTCGGACAACATGGAGACAAGAAGATTCTTGACCCTACCAGGATTCAAATTCCAACACCTTCGTCATCCAGCCCATAGCCAGTTGTTATACTGACTACACTATTCCAGCTCCTATTCCTGAACTGTGTAATAAGATTTTCATTTCATGCATCCTGTTGTGTTGTCTCTTTATTAAGACTGTCACAACACAATACAGAGTTGCAATCTGTATTCCCTACAAAACTGACATAAATACATCATACGGTGAGGCATCGACCAAACAATTAATGTAAAAACTATACTTCACAGGCCTTCAAACAGTTTATCATATAAAAGTCTAAAATATACGTCTGCAGAAAAATACAAGATTGCAACGACTGACTTCTTGATATAGATAATCACTTGAATAGTTTTAACCTTATTTTATGTAAGTTTATATCTCATTGTAATCTTTATACCATGTGTTTTATAATATGATAATTATCAAGTATCAAGACTTACTACACAATTGCAGTTCACTAGTGTGAATGGCTATGACTAGCTGAAACATGTAGCAAATGTAATTCAGCCTTGAACTCTGCATTGTTGTGTTGTGACTGTCTTAATAAAGAGTTGTGTGTAATAAGATATTCATTATGAAAGTGGTTTGAGAGAAGTTCCAGAGATATAGTGTGGTTGTGGCAATTTCACTCAGATGAAATATCAACACATTATTATGATGCAGATGTCATGACAAAATCTTACAAGCCCACACCAATATAATTCTTGCATATTCGTTCATTTGCAGGTTTTTTGGCAACATAACAATCAAATAATTATTATAATTATGAATATAATTTTTAGAACACTTGAGCCCCCTAGGCCAGAGCTAAGTGCCTGCTGGTGAGGCACGCTTCTAACCAAGTAGAATTTGTGGCACACGCAGTGAGCAAAAGTGATGTACAGCTTGGCTGTTTGTAGTTGAGTATGTACACGTTTCTGTGGCATGTGTAATAATCTTCAAGTGTTTATTGACATGCCCTGTTAAACTTGTGAACATTCTCCTGAAACAGGGAGCCCACACAGAATCAGTAATCTTAAAAATCTTAATTTACTTTGTTTTAAAGAAGCATTACCATGATTTATTTAATCCGTCTTGCAGTGCATACACTCATTTATCTCCTTCTCTCCCTCGCACTACATGTTTCGGCATAATAATGCCATCTTCAGGTGCTTACTTATCCACGTCAAACCAGTTCATTGCATGCCATGTTCACACATTAAAATAAATAAATTATGTACTGTTATTAAATAAATCATGGACTTAAATCAGTGCAACAGGACGCTAAAATANTTTAAAGAAGCATTACCATATTATGGGTAGTAAGCATGATCATATACACTAAATAAAATGACATTTTGCAAAGAGAAACTACTTAAAAGAAAATTACATATCAAATATGAAAAACACATGAGACCTACATACGTTAATCATTTTCATGCAGGTTTTTCTTTTCCTAATTTAGGATATATACACATCTTGGTATATTTATCACCTATTAATATTACCAAATCTAACCTAACCTCTGGTGTTTAAAAATGAATACACTGTTCAGAAGTGTTTTCAATGGTTCTGTTCTGAGACTGTCACTCAACTGACATAATCTGCTTTGCAAAGCCTGGACTGAGAGAGGACTTGTATATAGTGCACAAAGAAGAGTTTTCAATAACATGCTGTATGTGTGATATGCACACTTGGCAAATGTGAAGCCTATTCATAAGAGACAAACCCATCCTCTCATCAGACAGGATGTTACATAAGGACTATGACTGCAAGGATTCAGCTGAAAAAGGGCTCTGGTTATGAGTCTCAAGGGACCTTGCACCAAGATGAACTGATTGGCAGTAAATCTCCAGTCATAAAGTAACTCTTAACTCATGAGGTAGTTAGTGCAGCAGAGTGAGTTGGTTGGTGAGTTGATGATTCAGAAGTTGGAAGCCAGTTAGTTCAGCTTGGGAGCTGCAGTGACAGCCTGAAGCTGCTACCAGACAACTGGTGAAGACACAGCACACTGAGACTTAGTGCATGCTGTAGGGAACTGCAGTGTGTAAATTAGTGATAGCACTATAGTTACTTGTACGTAGGTAACTCAATAAGTAAGTTACAAATGGCTACAGAGTACAGAGTACAAATAAGAGTACTGATTTGAAAAATGCCTTTATTTCTCAACATAAGCTCCCTGTACATTGAGGCACTTGTCCCATTGTTTCACAAGCCCCTGAAAACCAGCAGCATAAAATTCTTTGGGTTACTGTCAGAACCAGGCGGTGATTTCCCTCTCTACAGCTTCATCGGCGAGAAAATGTTCAGCCGAGGTTTAAGAAGGCCGAACAAATGGAAGTTGCATGACAAGTTAGGTTTTCACAAAGTCTGTGCACGATGGGTGCTGTGCATGCTGACCCCACAACACAAAATGCAAAGAATAGGTCTGGCTTTACAGCATCTCAATCACTATCACGATGAAGGACACGATATGCTAGCCTGAATTGTCACAGGTGATTAGTCTTGCTCCAAGCAACTTCCATTTGCTCGGCCCTCTTAAACATCATCTTTCGGCTGAACATTTTCCTGACGAGTAAGCTGTAGAAAGGGAAGTCACCGCCTGGTTCCAACAGCAGCCCAGAGAATTTTATGCTGCTGGTTCTCAGGGGCTTGTGAAATGATGGGACAAGTGTTCAATAAGTCCAATTATCAATCAAAACCCTGTCTATAGTCACTCCATACACGAGACAGCTGGTGTCATAAGTGGTTGGACTGCAGACTGCAAGAAGCTAAATTGTCATACTACACACACAATGAGAAGTCTGATATCCTTCGAGGTACTCTCATCTCCTGGATGGATATCCACCAAGCCAGGACAAAGGCCATTCAAAAAATAATAGCCAAGAAGTGACAGAGGCCTGTCTAGAAAAGGCGAAGGAAACCCAGAAAAGATGAAGGCTGGCCTGGAAGAAATGGAGGTCAATCAAGAAAAGTCGGACACCAAAGCAAAACATCAGGAAGAACTTAAAGAAGAGGCCACAGTGGAACCTCGGAGAGCACTGGAGGACTGATATGGGGACTGGCATCTAGCCAAAGGGCACAGCCAAAAAAATGGACCCAGGGCCATAGTGGGTCCCAGAATTTGACTGCTGCTGACCTGGCCACTGGAGTGCGCATGAGAAGTACAGCAGGAAGTGGCATGGCACTGACTGCAGTTGCACCTATCATCCTGTTGTAATCCACAAACCCCCTGCAATCCTGAACTCAACAAAATCCATCACACATTATTGAGGTTGGTGACATCTAACAAAAACAGGCAGCAGCTATGCTCTAAATGTGCATACATCTTTTCTGATTATCTGGCTGACCCTTCCATCAGAACATTTTCTTTAAATTACACTATGTCATCTTTCTATGCACACGCCCCAGGCAAGAAGTAGAAAATGTTCTGTATTTACACGTTCTCCCATTACCACCAATTCAAAACTCTGCTGCTAGCTCTCAGTGTTTTACGATTTCTGCCCAGTTCGATGCTAACCTTGGTCAGGCAGTGGTTATCTTGCCAATTGTTCTTGGTCAGTCCCTCCAACCAAATGCTGAAGTAATATGTTGATTATACCACACCAGCTCCCTTCAAAATCCTCAATTCCTTATTTTCCAAACATCCTACCACTTAGCTCTATAATCTCAAAAAGCATCATAAAATGAAAAACTACCACCAAGAAGTCACTTCCAAACAGTACTAAATTTTTCCTACAATAAAAATCATGAAATCAGCAGGCAGTAATCTTGTGGAATGATGAAACGTAATTAGTGTTCTTTCTACTAATGAATATGCTGCTTCTACAACAAAAAATGCTTATGGTTTGGCTTCAGAGGCCTTTAATGTCATCTCACAACCACCAAGCAGTTATTAAGTGTACATTAGAATTACAGACTTTTAAAATAAAATCACTTATACAATCAATCAATCAATCAATCCACTCACTCACTCTTGCAGCAATAAATCTCCAGAATTTTACAATCAGCAATGACTTTTGCATGATATGCAGAGCATCCTGTTACTGATGTAAGATATTTATTAAAACATCGATTCATTTAGTTACAAATCTGCTTTCACATCACAAACATGACAGATAAAGAAATGGGGTCCAACAGAACAAAAAATGTGGCATCGGTTATTAATTAAAACTTCTCTGGCACTTACACCAAATAAATTTGCCTCAACACAGAAAATAAAAAACATTACACTCCCTACTACCACACCCCTCTACATCGCCACAACCGCTACATACGAGTCTGCTAACATCATAGCAATGCAGGTTGGAAAGTCCCTTTACTTTATCCCATTCTGACGTGACAACAATGCTCCAAAGGACTTCACTATGCCACTCATCACCCATGTACAATGCTACTAACTTCCAAGAAAATTTGGAGGAAGCTGGGTTCCACATATATGAAAGGTTTAAATTAACTTACCAGTATGGAGAATAGAGACAGACTAAGTGGACATATCCCTCTCTCACAACAAAGTGACCTGCTCAAAAACAAAATTTCTGATCCTGGATTTCAGGAACACTGATATGTGCGGATATTGTTTGTGTTATGTTTTTTTGATCACACTTCTGTGCGGCTTTCTCTGGCAAATTTATGTGGTTTGCGCTCAACGGCACCAAGAGAACAAAAGTGAAGGTGAAAACAATTTGTTAGTAAGGATTACTAATTACAGCACTTTACATGAAGGAACATAATACAAACAAATGAACACGACCTTATTCAGTAGAAAGTATTTAATGCATACTCAGCATGTGACATAAAAGGTCCTACAGAAATGTATCAAGATACAAAATTGATTTTATACCGAAGCATGGTGAGAGCAATAACTTTGCACTGCACATGCCTTTCGCTTGTTCACCATTACAGCATTAAACTCAAGAAACAACATTTTGCTTACCAAATACAGATACAATGACAAGAATCGAACTGCATATTATCCTGAATGGTTAACATTACAAGGCTTACAGCCAACTATCATAAATTCAAATTCACAATTTTTTTTCGCAATTACTTTTGTCGGCTCTTTTATTTATTTCACTCGATAATAATATAGCATACAGTTTGGTGACACTCCGTGGGCTGAAGAGACCACTTTGCCCGCAGGACATGAGACCGGGTGGCTGTGGATCTGCAAACAGGCTGGCAAAGTGTTCTCACAGAGTGAAGATAACTGAGCCAAAGAGAACAAGGGTGAATTAGTTCCCTTTCACAGCTGGCTCCATTCCATTGCGCATTACTGCCGGTCAGTGGCACGCAATTTCTCTTCCACAGCCTCTTGCGATGCTTCAGACAGATCGGTAGCCTGAACAATGAAAATAATAATTAAAAGGATGTGCACTTATTGTGCCCATGTGTACAGTGCAATATTATGGACACATATGAGTTACAGAATTTCACCCTTTTAGCAATTGCAAAACATCACCATGAGACACGCTTACAGAAACAATTTTTTTAAGAAATGATTATTTGTTCAAAATTCAGACTACATACGTACATGTCAGTGATTTGGGGGGGGGGGCAGTGCAGCTGCCACCACTCAAAAGTTATACCAAGTGAAAATAAAGAAATTATCTCGAGGTTTTGATGGATTTGCATGTTCTGAGCCCATCCCCCTCCCCAAGCATGGAAGTGGTTTCTGGTACGTCATGCCTATACAAATGCATGGATGTGCGCCTTCCTAGTGCCTGAACACTTGGCTGGAATTTACTCATATTAACATTAAATATTTTAGAATTTATCCACCCCAGTGGTGTCTGGTGAATATGAACATTCCACTTCCAAGAATAGAGGCCCTTCAGACATGCCCCAAAACATAAAATTGCAATTTATGAATGAGGCTCAATGACTTTCATTAAATTTCAGTGATTTATGGAAATCATCCCTATAAATCATTAATGGGATTATTTCTCAATCATCCAGACCTGCACATCCATACTGAATAATTTATTTTACTAATATCCTAACTTCTTGGAGTCGAGTCCTTGGGGGGGGAAAGGGTCGTGTTATCTACTCACAAATTTCCCAACATTTTACGATGCATCAAACCAAAAGGTTCATTAGCACATGGGCCCCTGTTCTCAGCCAAACAACTCCAGTCTATACCTCTTCTACCTTATTTCTCTAAGATCCATTCAAATATTATCCATCTAAATCTAGGTCAGTAGCGTGGTTGGCTGAGGGGCTATGCTACAAGCCGGAAGGTCGCGGGTTCAAATCCTGATGAGGTCATTGGATTTATTTTCAATTGACCTAACCCTTCCAGCTGCACTATGGCCCTGGGGTTGACTCAGCCTCTAACAGAAATGAGTGCC